ACTGTAAGTGAAGTTCGAATTGATCGACCGTTGCTAGCTATAACATTAAATTTTCTCATAATATACTTTTTCATATAGCAAGCGTTTTGCAGTCAAAATTAATTATAATTAGTTTTAACACTATCCTTTTCTCCTAAATCGTTGAAGAATTTTAATTCGTAAAGCTATGAGGAAATTTGCTATGATTTTTAATTCTGAGTAATTTTTACATTTCTGTCAAAGGTCTAAAGGAAGTTTCACCTGAGGCTAATGTTAGGACTTTCTCAACTTTGTTTTCCTACATACAGGGGCCCTGAACTCTCGTGCCACTCTAATTATGACGTCAAATAATATAGTTATTATTTTGAATTTACTATTCACATAGGATTCTAGAATATAGGCGTTACGATGTCTACGATCATCACCTGCTAGATTAGGTGCAGATGCCAGTTGTAGATGCGTTGTTGGCAGCATTACAGCCTCATTGCGAGATTAGGGCGAGCCACAGGGTCCCGTCCACCACATCTATCTTCGTTTTCTCTTTCAGGAAAGCTAACATCATGGAGAATGCCTGATTTAGCTCAGAGAGAAGACGAGACATCTGTGCTCTCCAGTGGATCCAGTATATATTGAGTCGCTCCTTTTTATATGGCGCCAGCATCCAGTGGTCACCAGTGGATTCCATGGGGCCAGAATTCTTGGCGGCACTGATGACATCTTGACGGTGAGGAGCTTGCAAGCTCATGTTGACATATCGTTACAAATGTCAGTCTTTAAATTAATAAATAAATAATAAATACGGTCTGCCCAAAGCATGTCAGGTTGGCTGACCCTCGCTCGCGATGCGCGCGAGTATATACTGGTTAGGGTGTAATAAACACGAAATGTATTTACTCGAATTGAAAATTTTAAATGGAATTGACGTCTCATGATTAATCCGCTGTTACTTTAATTGTATTAAATATATTTACCAGGAGCGTATAATGACAAATTATTTGTCATATATATATTTTTGTCATATATATTTGTCAAATATATTTGTCATTATACGCCTCCTGATATTACTTAATCATCACTTGCTAAGTAGTAATATGATAAAGACTTGTTGATACTGTCACGGTCTATCTAGCGGCTTGCATATGGGCACCCGGTGGCGAGCGTAGCACATGGGAAATAGTTCAGATAAGAGTTATAGATCTTATTGAGCATTTTATTATAAACAGCGCCTACATTGATAAAAACATGGTGATTTAATTCAGAGCTCTTGCTAATTTGGGCGTTTATTTGAATTTTGTAATTTGTGTGTTTTTGCTATAGGGGTCGTAATTGTTTGGGGGCCGGCATTCGGTATGAAAACTGGTTTTGGATTAGGCCCTGACCTGTTACGAATAATAGGCGAAAGAGCATAGATAATCATTAAGATTTCATGAGTAGTAATACATTTCATGTTTATTTCCATAATTTTATCATTGAAGTGGTTCCCAATGCTTGTGGCTGTGGCGCAGGGCATAGAAAACATGACACAGTTTACAGAATTGAAAAATTCTACCCTATCAAGAATTACAGGCATTATGGTGATAAAAAATTTACCAATTTTGGGGGCATTTTTGCAAAGTATGGGAGCAAATCGCAGAGTTTTGGAGCATTTATACTATAGAAGTTGTGTCTTTATTAGTCACAACTTCTATATTTCTCAATGAATTATCTTGATATTTTATATGAGATATTTTCATACCAAGTGCTTGTCATAGCTGTAGTTTGGACTCTCGATGACTCCAGTTTGATGACTTATGATGCCATTAACCTCATCACCACTAAGCACAAATTCATAAAAATCTCCTTTTCCATCCTTTCTTTGCTTTCATTTTAGGTTTAATTATAATTATTATAACACCAGTGGACAGTGAAAAGCAGGTAGACATTGAGCCTCTTCTTTAGAAATACCAATGCATTTACAGTGAAGCCATTGTTCACACTTGGCGCAGCATATCCTCCAGATGCCGACCATTGCATCGTGAGCACATCTCTTTTTCTTCAGTTGTAGCCATAATTTTACAGTGGCCCATAACTTCTTCAAAAATTCTTTTTTTTTTGCTGCATCACATCTCTGTCTGCCATCAGTGATCTGTTTTTTAGAAGTTGCGCAGCATAGTGGCACACAAATGCCCCGCAACTAGAAGAATCCTCCTGGAGTCTGTGTGGTGGGCATGTCAGTGTCCATTCCACCACATCTATCTTCGTTTTCTCTTTCAGAAAAGCTATCGTCATGGAGAATGCCTGATTTGCTCGGGGAGAAGAGGAGGCATCTGTGCTCTCCATTGGATTCAAATATAATATGAGTCGCTCCTGCATGGATATGGCCACCAGCACCCAGTGGTCACCAGTAGGATTCCATGGGGCAAGAATCACTGAAGCGGCCCTGATGCCATCTCTACGGTCTGCCCAGAACATTCCATTCTACTCGCTCTACAACCAAGCGTTGGACTACACCGAGCTCGCGTGCGACTCCAGCCTGCTCTACAAGCTGCTCAAGTTCTTTGAGTCGGACTTTGAGCGCAAGTTGAAGATGCACAAGCGGCGCGTCAACGCGCTGCAGGGAGTGCTCGGCGAGCTCAACCCGCGCCACTACCTGCTCGTCTGCCGGCAGCTGACGTACGAAATCGCCGAGGCGTATGGCGAGACGCTCGACATCAAGATGGCGATCGTCAAGGAGCAGCAGACGACGCCGTCGCCACACGCCATCAGTAAGATCAACCTGCTCTGCGCCGAGTGCATTCACAATTTTGAGTTGTTCCTCGACTCGTTAAGACGGCGAACTGCGAGATGCTGGAACAGTTTGACAACGATAATATTCGTCCGGTGCTGATAGCTTACTTCTACATGGGCCGCATGCATTCAAAATTCATCGATTCCAATGTTCACAAAAGGATAGAGTGTATTCAGAAGAGCACTGATTGCTATCAGTTATTAGTTAGTTATTGTGAAAAGTACCCAGACATGGATACCAGTGGATTGTTTTTGTCACGTCGATTTTAAAATAATCATCACATCGCAGATATTTGTTAATGGTTTGTTTTTTGTCGTTAGTAATTTTGTTAGTTGTTACGGAGGGAGTGAACTCAATAAATTGCCTGTCGGAAGGATAAAAAGCCCCCCTAAACGTGTTTTGTTCTAGCGCGAAATGTTCCCTTTTGAAATTGTTTTAAAAACAAGTACTAATCTTCGGTGTTGTGCGGTTTGGATCTACTGTTTATAACTCGTCACTGAAGCTTAATATTAGCTAGGGAGTGGTAAAACTATAGGTGCAGTTTTATTATTACGAATAACTCGTATAATTATAAATGTTCCGTTTCGGCGTACACATGCTTTCAAATCTATCATTTTCTAGCGTGGTTAGTTCTAGCTACCGCTAAAGCATATACGCAAGTAATGTGGTTTAAAAAAAAAATTTATTTTGCCATTTCTATCCGTTTTTGCGGACAAGCAAACCAGAGGCGAGTACCGCATATTTTACTGTTTGAATCCATGTTTGAAGGGATATTGCTTCGATTAGCATCGAACGACTATTATAAATTATTATTATTGTTAGTATAAACAATAATAAATATAGGACGGTTCTATGAGGGTGCCGATGGGGTTTAGCGTGAAGCGTGAAATGGCCATATATTTTAGCGTTAGCGTGAAAAATCATTTTATTTTAACGTCAAGCGTGATTTTTGGCCTGGCGTGACTCGTGATTCCCCTCTAGAAATTAGCGTTAGCGTGAAAAATCATTTTATTTTAACGTCAAGCGTGATTTTTGGCCTGGCGTGACTCGTGATTCCCCTCTAGAAATTAGCGTTAG